AATTGTTCGAAAAACCTGTAACATCAAATATTATATGTTGATACCGCAAGATCTAAAACAATGCCCGTACATTATTATTTTATCTAAAGGTATCTACTCACATCCACCTCCACTACCAAATCAGGTACCACTTTCTATACGAACTCGTTTGCAAGAGTTAATCCGTCAAGCTGATGATAATACTATTGATATTACACCAACTCGCATTTTAACAGGTATATGGTGTATATACTAAGAATATTGTTATAGATTCAGTCTGCAAAAAAAATTCATAACATTGTAGTCTCAAATAAGGTCTACAATGCTACGATTTTTTTTATGAATTTTGTCTTATTCATTGAAAAGTAATAAATTTTCAATGTTCTTTGTCACATGAATTATTGAGTGTTTATAGCTATATATCCATTATAATAAAATTTTATATAACACAAAGTAGTACAGATATAATATATTTAGATAGTTTGCACTACATAATTATACAAAAAAAAAATAATTTTTAAATTAATTTATTATCATTATATATAGGAAATTTAATTAAATCTTGCTTCAGAATTGAATGTTTTGCGAATATATATGCATCTCTAAATAACGCTGATCGCCTTCAATATTATGTGGATAAAATTCAAAAAGAAATTCATCCACAAGGACAAGGGCTTCTTGGAGTTATTTATAACTACTCACGCAATCTTAACAATATTCGTGATTATGTAAAATGGTTAGGTAATATTAGAACATATAATTTATATATGGGCGAATATGCATTAATATTAATACGATTAAATTAAAATTTTTAATATTTTTTCCAGAATTTTTTGAAGATGATCATATAATGATAGTTTGTACATCTTCTGAACAACTAACAGAATGGTTGCGATGTGAATATTTCCAAATCGATTTATCTTTCAAACGAGTGGCCGGCGAAATTAACGAATTTGAAATTAATAATTACGATAATAAGCATAATTTGAGTAAGATAATTCTTTTTATAATTTAATAAATATTAATTTATTTATATACATACTATATATTAATACTTAAATTTATTAGTTCTTACTTACGCTAGAGTCTTTACGAATCAAGCTACAACAATTGCATATCAAAGAATGTTTCGTGCATTGTTTGATCTTGCATTACAATTGACTGGCTTGTGTCCTCAATTTAAACATATACACGAAACTGGTTGGGGATGTATTATTGCCGACTTAGACTATGCACAGGCACGTGGTCTTGGATTAGTTTTAAACAAAATCGATCCAACAAAAAATTGGGAAGAGCATTTAATTTCCATTTTTAAATCCTGCCAAGTGCATTATAAAAGGCAAGTATATAATTTTATCACTTATTTGTTTCTTTTACTTACCAATTGTTATTTTTTTTTATTTATAAAGAAAAATCTTTGAAAAAAGATATGATGATTCTATAACCGACGATATGCTTGCTTTGCTTACGGCTAAGTCAGAAAATGAAATTAATCATTTGTTTGAAAAAATTCAAGCAATTGAAAAAATGGCAGGTCAGTTTTTTTTTTAATATGTATATATTTAATCATTATATGAACGTACACATATATTAGATTGGGTTTTATTTTATCGCCAAAAATGGGTTATTGCGTCACTCAACCAATGCATGTCACAAATAGATAAGGAAATTTGGATGTTATCTCCTAATAATACGAATATCGCAGAAGCTGCTCATGCATTAAGTAATCGGTACGAAAAAAATCTAAAATTAATGTCTGCTATTTTACAGTAAGTATAAGTTTTATACTATATATTAATTTTATTATATTGGGCCATATTCTTGAATTGATACGTATTCGGATTTAAGAAAATTTTCCTGAATACTTATAACAGCAGGGATTGGCCCATTGGTTTAAATTGTATTTTACAATTTGTAATGATTTATATTGTAGAGGTTGCAAATTGGATAAAGAAAAATTTACAACCATTCATATTCACCAACAATATAATATACCTAATCGTGGGCGGGACAAAGGCTTTATTAGCCGCAACGTCTTATCAAATAAACGTAAAGGTAAACAAGTAATTTAATTATAAATGTATAATTTTTTTTTTATCAATCGCTATTTATTTTTAACATCTTTAAACTATTAGCAAAAAGTTCCAACAAATCTACCAAAAATAAAAGAAAAAAATCGGCAAAAACTAAAAAAAAATCCGAAGCAATTGTTATCCACTCTGAAGATTCAAATGAAAGTGGACACGAAGAAAGCTCAAAAATTGATAAACTTGAATATCAAGAACGGTTGTTGGCATTAAAAGAACGTGAATTAGCCTTAAGAGAACGTGAAGCAAAAGTCCATTCGGTTGAATTGACAAATCTTGAAAAAGAACAAAAATTGAAGTCTACAAATTAAGATTAAAAAAAAATGCAATTGGCGTAACTGTGTGCGAAGAAAAAAGAAATTAGACAATTTTCGTTAAATTTATGTGAAATTTTTATTTTTATTTTTTTTACAATAAAGCATGTATGTACGTACGTTCAATCCTGTAAAAATCTTGATTTTTAGTGAGGTCAAATAATAATTACGTAAATTTTTATACTATACTATTTTATATATATTATATATATATATTATGAGTATAGTATGCTAATTTTTTATATACTCAAATGCGATTTTTGTAGTGTACACCACTACTTTGCTCACTCATACACCACAACTATTCGTAATACCTATAAAAGTTACGTACGTACGTACGTACGTATATCGTACAATTTTGTAATTTTATTGGACTTATTATGCCGAGATTTATAACTGACCAAAAAATCATTCGGCAGATTTTTTATCGGGTGTTTCAGAAATTATAAAAACAGCTGTATATAATACGGAATTGATGTAACGGTAATTTAACTACATTTCGTATAAAATAGTTTTCGGATCTGTCCGAGTTTAAGATATCAGATATAGTTTAAATTCGGCATTGACGTCAGATCTGGATTGGATCAGGCCACGATTAAGTTGGTGATACGTATCACACGTAATGCTAAAAAAAAAAAAATTATAGGAATGAGAAATGATAATCATGACGATCTTTACTAATGTATCTTATATTACTTAATAAAGTTTTCTGAAAAAGATAAGCCGAAAAATATCATTCTTTTCACTATAAGTTTTTTATTTTTTCTCGCTAATTCTGAAATTACCTGGAGTCATGGATCCCAAAAATAAAAACAATCGCAAACCTTTTGTTGGTGGTATGTTGTTGACGAATGATAGCGATTACTTAACCGGCTTAATGACTTATTTAATTCAATCAAAATAAAGGAAACTTTAAAATGAATGGTTCTAGAACCATGCTTAAAGAAATAATAGATAGATTGAATGCGTTAAAATTTGATGATCACGCTGGTGAGAGTTTATTATATAAAGAATTAAATAAATGTATAATAAAAAATACAATTTAGCTACAATTTATTACAAATCACAGAAGTAGTAATCGCTCCACCGACACTATTTCTCGATCTGGCACATAGATCTGTTCGTGATGGTATTAGTATTGCCGCTCAAAATGCTTTTAATTGCTCTAAAGGAGCTTACACTGGTGAGGTCAGGTGGGTTAATTTTTAGAGAAATGAAGAATATTTTTATTGAATTTTATTAAAAGTTTTTTTCTTCCAAAACAAAGTCCTGAACAATTAAAGGACCTTGGTATTGATTGGGTAATCTTGGGCCATTCAGAACGTAGGGAGATCTTTAAAGAGTCTGATGAAGTATGTTACATTTCATGTTATGACGCATTTAGTATTCTCGTTCTAACATACCTTATTCGAACTCATTTCGTTTTCCATTTAATGGGTGTAAGTTTGTTGCTTCTAAAGTAGCACATGCCTTAAATGCCAATATGAAAGTGATAGCCTGTATTGGAGAAAAATTAGAAGAACGAGAGGCTGAAAAAACTGAAGAGGTTGTGATCAGACAACTTCAATGTATAGGTGAGAAGGTCGATAATTGGAAGAATGTTGTAATTGCCTATGAACCTGTTTGGGCAATTGGTACTGGAAAAGTAGCAACGCCACAGCAAGTATGGATTAATAATTAGTAATAGTATATTTTGATGTTTTCTCTGTTTTTTCACTATTGTTGACACTTTAATCTTCTACTAGGCCCAGCAAGTTCACGTTATCATTCGAGATTGGTTAGCAAAAAATGTATCCCAACAAGTAGCCCAAGATACGCGTATTATCTATGGAGGTAATACTAAAAAATAACCTATTACTTATTCGAAAGATTTATTTTTCTGGTGTATGATAATTCAAAATCTGTATCTTGTTATTAGGTTCTGTTAATGACACGAATTCTCCAGAACTTGGTGAGTTTGTTTTCTAGTCTTTGAATGAAGAAACTCATCAAAGATTTGCAATACTAAAACTATTAATATTTATTTGCATTATTATGATCGTTTAGCGAAAAAACCTGATGTTGATGGATTTCTTGTCGGTGGTGCTTCCTTAACAGAGCAGTTTATTAAAATTATCAGTTGTTTCATTCCTCCCGAAAACTAATTATCGTCAAAATAAGAAAATATCGAATAAATATAGTATTATACGAAAATTATATAAGCGCTTAATACTAAAGCTTGTGAAGTGCATGAGTAAATAAAGTTTATTATTTGAGGGTATCGTCTCATAATTGCTATTTAATGGTGATAGTTTTACGTGCCATCGATAAAAAGTTATTGCAATCCAGATAACCAATTATTGTACTCTCTTTAATTTGCAACTTATAAAAATTATAGTAGAACGTGAAAACAAATTCTTAATTGGTATATTTAAAATTTTATTAAACTTAAGTAGCAACAAAAATTTGTTTTTCATGTGATAACTTATTTATTTTATGTTTGGTATTATATATATGCATATTTGAGTATTCTGTTTTTTAATTGTAAAAATAGATATAAGGCCACACAAATTTAATTTATTGGTTCTCGTAACAAACTTTTTGAATATTAATAATTTTATATATAACTATATAAATTTTTTTTAAAAGTTTACCTGGTTATTAAAATTATAAAATTTTTTTGTCCCGACATCCGGCTTTTAAATTTTTTTTCAAAAATTACGTACGGTACAAAAATTCGTTCTTTTTTTTAAAAAAACCTCACAGATAATAACGATAAATAAATTTACTGCTATTATCATAACTCCTGGCACACCTCATAAAATAAGCTGAATGATTTTTCGCCGATTCGGTTATGATTTCGGCATAATCGTACGTTGACTAATGTAAATTTTATAAGACTACTTACGTACGATCTCTTGATACTTTCAAAGCATTTTCGCCGGCAAATAATTGAATAAAAAAATTTAGAAGTCTCGAAAAATTAGGTATTAGCAAATCTTCAAGTCGATGGACATATTGAAAAACTTCCATAATACAATTTCGACAAATATTAATTTTTTGGAATATCGAGTTGCATTTTTAAGCCAGTAGATAAATTCTCAACCATATTTAACCTTTCAATATTAGCACCTATGTTTATTATAAAAATTTAATTTATACATAGCGCCTTTTTTATATTTCTTGTATTTATTGGTTGACAAGAACAGATTTATCTAAATTTTCGTGCAAACTAAATATACCAAATACTGTATATTGGACAAGTATTCTAATAATGTTGAATATGTTGACTTTATAATGATAAAATTATCTGTAGAATAAAGTATTACATGTACGTAATATAAAATTATACAGTATATCTTTTATCATTATTACCGATCTGCTGAGATCACTTAGTCAAATCGGCTGAAAAATCATTCGGCCAATTTTTAGCAGGTGTTTAGGAATTATGATAATAGCTATAAACACGTCGAATGGCACTATTCACCATTTGTCAACCATTTGACCAGCAATTGACAAACATTTGACTATCAATCGAAAAAAAGTTTGATCTTTTTTTTGGTTTAATGTTTTTTAATTACTAGTCGAATGACACGTCGAATTAGCAGTTTGTACAGTATTAAGATTAAAATTCTTGCTAGATAGATTTTTCAATATACTGTATTTGATATTTAAGTTAGAAGATTATAAGTAATCAAAAGCTTAAACTTGCTTAACTAGAAGTTAACGAAAGCTAAAGAAACTAAAAAAATAATTTTAAAATATATTTATTAGATTTAATTTTTTACAATTCTTTTTTTACTAATTTTTTTATTTGTAAAAAGTAAATAATCTAGTTTATTCTTTCTAAAATATTAATAATATTTACTATTTTTTTTTAAATAAATACATATTACAATATAATAGATATAAATATAACCAATATATAAGAATTATAATATATTTAATAATAATGATAAATTTAATAATAAGAAAGTTGTATAGTAAAATAGAATATATAATATTCTGAAGTTATATTATATAAAGTTTTTTTAGCACAGATTATAAGACTATAGCCTATTAGTTATATATAGTCAGATTTTTTAGCTTTAATTTTAGATCTTTTATTAGAATTATTTTTAAATTATAATATTTATGTTTTTTATTTCTTTTTTTTTTATAATTCAGCAGTCTTGTTACTGTTTATTTGAGATTAAAAAACTAAGAAATGTAACTATTTTTAATATTAGCATACTAATCTAACCAAACAAGTAACTTACTTATACTTGTGCTGGATGTGACCTGTCTTTGTGGATTTCAAGCCTTTAGGTATACTTGAATAAAAACCCCATGCCAAAGAAGCTAGTATAAACAAAAAAATAAATTAAATTAAAATTTGAACAAGTCTTTATTTTAATACAAAAAAATATAAATAATTAATAATAGCTTTTTAAATTAAATTAAATATTTGTTAAATTAATCAAAGCTAACTATATTTAAATTTAATTTGATTTAAAAATTTTAAAATTAAATTTGATTTAACTTTAAATATTTGATTAAATTGAGTTTGGGCTCCATAGCTTATATTGAAAAAATAAATATAGTGTAGATTTGCAAAGATCTGCTATTCTGGAAAAAAATAGCAAATTTTATGATATCTTATAACCTAGTGATTGAAATTCAATGTTTTGGTACTATTCGATTTTCTTAATAAGATGGATTGAATAGTATTAAAATTATTGAATTTTGATTACTAGATTATAAAATATTTGTATTTAAGTAGTTTTTGTAAACATTTAAATAATTTACCAACTAGTGGTCTAAATTTAATGATTTTGGTGTCATTCAATTCCTTTTAATAAGACAGTTCAAATAGTATCAAAAATGCTAAAATTTAATTACTAGTTGTATAATATTTATAAATAATGTTTCACGGCACAGTTTTGTACAGATCATTAAATTTGTTTTTTAAAGATCTGTGTAGAACTGTACTATAAAACATTTTTTGCAAATATCTCACCAACTAATAATTAAATTTTAGTGTTTTTGATACCATTTAAACTGTCGAAATCAAATAGTGCCAAAATTGTTAAATTTGAACTACTAGGTGGCAAGTTATTTAAGTGTTTACAAAAACTACTTAAATACAAATATCTTGTGACCCAGTGATCAAAATTCAACAATTTTGATACCATTTGATCCATCTCATTAAGACAAATTGAATAGTACCAAAATTATTAAGTTACAATTACTGCAGATTTGCATTATATTTATTTTTTCAATATACTGGTTAAATACCAAAACTTCCACAAACAAGGTTGATAGTTCGAGTCAGGCTAATGACAAATTTTTAAATTTGTTACTATAATCTTATGAAGCTATAATCAGATACAAAGCCCTGTAAAAAGTCTAAGTACAAATATGGTTTTGGAATAAAAATTTTTAGAAAAAGCTCTGAGTATAAAGTACAGATATTATATATGATAGCAATGGCATAAAAGATCTAGCCTGTAGAAGATTGTACAAGTTAGTTCTCTAGCTGAGATAATTCAGAAACAACACTAATATCCTTTTATCTTCATATTAAATAACAAAGAGTCAAGTTGAAAGTCAAGGTAAATTAAAGTATGCTTTTTAGTAATATAATGCAAAGTCTACAGTCAGAAGTAGAACTGCTTGTCACTTAAAGAATATTGTGGTATTAAACTAGTTTTAATAAGATAAGTTATTAAAGTAGCTACACTAATAATATACTATATGAAGAAGTACAAATAAATTAGTTGTTACTACTATACTAAAAAAAGAATGTTAAGTTCTGAAGTAGGCAAACCAATAGTGGTAGAAGGCTGGCTTGAGATATAGATTAGTAGTATCTAGATAGATAAGTGGAAGATTAAGGTATTCATGAAGAGAGATAATGCATAAAATAATGTAAACTGATTAAAGTAGTAAAATCCAAGATAAGTCTTTAATTCAATAATGTAATACCAACTCTGTTACTTGTATTAAAACCAAAAATAATATCTATTTATTTACTTTTTTATAGTATTTTTTTGTAGTAAATTTTTTATTATTAATTGAAAAATTATTTATTTTTTTAAATTTTTTATTATTTTTAATTAGTAAATTGTAATTTATTATAATATAATACAAATTTAGCAGCTTTGCTTTATTATTTTATTAAAAGTACTAAAAAATTAATATTAACAAATTAATACAATTTTTTATACTATATTTCTATTCTAATAAGACTTACTTGGTATTAATATCTAGGTGCAACCTTATCTAGCAGTAATTAGCTTTATATTAGATCTTTAACTTTTTGAGAATTTGGTCTTACTAATTATAAGCTATAGCAGCTATCTACTTTGTTAAGGAGCTAAATAAAAGAAAGTATAAAACAAAGAAAATCAGAGGAATAGAAGAATAATAAAATATATAAGCAAAAAAAGAAAGGAGTAAAGGAATATCAAAAAAAGAAAAAATATAATTTGTTTATCCTAATATCATATTTATAAGCTTGTGAAAGATTTTTAAAAATTATATACTACTAAATAAAATAGTCTCTACTCTAAATTTAACTAAATAATATATAAAAGTAAAATTTTAATAAGAACTTTATTAATTAGAGTAATATAGAAAGATTAGTATTCAATTATAGTCTCAAAGTATTATTTATCAGATTGTTGCATTTAAGGTATATACTTTGATATATTTGTTGTTCTATTATACTGATTTAGGAAGTTAATAATGCTAACTATTTTAGTATATATGATATTAATTTATAAAGACCTACAGTGATGTTGATTTCAAAATATTCTTTTGGTTTGAATACTGAACTACAAAGGAATTTACCAAAAGTTTATATATAATGATAATGATTAATAGTATTGTCTGTTGCTATCTTGTTCATTAAAAACTTGTCTTTGTATATAGGGATATCATATAGAGATATCACAAACATTATTATAAATATTCCTTTTATATAATCATTGCTTGATAATATACTATTTTTTATTACTATTATTACTTCAATATAAAAGAATATAAAAGGTTGTTATTTGAAATAAAAACTAAGATAGAAACTAAACTAATAAATTTCTTTTCACTTAATATTCATATATTGAATGCATAATCAGATGTAAGTTATACTGCAGTTAAGTAAGATTATAACTGTAGATAGTCT